TACCCCCCCCCCCCCCCCCAAGCCTAACCCTTAAACCATGGTTTCGAAATCACCTCGAACAGTGGGCTTATATCCTTCCCAGTCGTATGGACTTGGAGATGGGTCGTTGGCCTGGTTGCCTTGGCTCATATAAACCGGACCTCTCGTGTCGTGACAGTGGGCGTCTGGGAGCCCGTAAGTGATCCGATTTCCTGTGTGTCCGAGCGTGGAGACGGGAAAAACGGACGAACAGGCGGAAAAAAAAAGGAGAGGAAGATCGACTCGGAAGAAAGAAAAAGTATTCCCCGGAGATGTCATTGTCAACCAAGCACAATCGGATTTCGCCTGTCTTTCATTCTCTCTCTCCCTTACCTCCCATCGTTCCTCCAGCCTTCGCAAGGGCGTTTCCGTTCCCTTTCCTCCCCCTCTCCCCCTAATGGAGACGATCCTGCATGGATTATGTTCAATAGCGATCCGCTGGCTGAGGTTCTCCTGCCTTTCGGCATCCGATTCCGTTCGCTAATGTCGTCTTTGTTCACCACCCCGATGAGATTACCTCCACTAATTGGAGAGAGGGAGGATAGATGAGACGCGTTCCCGTTCGCAAAGGGAAATGTCGACGTTGGCTTTCAGCCCCGGAATGCGCAGAGAAAAAGAGGGGTTCCGCCCCTGAATATTGCATTTCCGAGACGGGAGTTTTCTTGTTTTCTTTAGCCCGAGATACATCCCTTTTCCCTCGAGGATACGGGAGAAAAATATCTTTATCGGCAAGAAAGATCCTCCTTTATCTTTATTGACTTCTCAGATATCAGGTTCAAGTCTGGTTCACTTCGAGCTCCGTCTCGTCTCCATTCTGAGGAGCGATGGCGTTGTACTTGACGCAGCAGGCCTTGCAGAACCGGGATCGGAGGAACTTGACGGCCTCGGTCGTGACGGGCTCCTCCATGAAAGTGTAGAGGACGGGGGTGAAGACGGCATTGAAGATGACGGGTAGGGTGGTCCAGAGGAGGACGGTGTCCGTGTCGTGCTGGGAGAGCCGATGGCAGGAGGCCTCCAGCTCGCAACCCTTCCGCGATAGGAGGTAGGCCATCATGGGGGCGTGGGTGCACACGCAGATAACGGCGTGGAGGAAGCGGATCTTGACGAGGGACGTGTCCGGGCCGACGTCCCGCGGCTCGAAGTCCCGCATCGGGCGGCTGATGGTGGTCGCCTCGCAGATGGGGAGTTCCTCGGTGTCCACGTGATGGAGACCCAGGATGGCCCGCTGCCGCCGTCGCACGTGCTGGAACATCCTCACGAAGGCCAGGAAGAGTCCGGCCACACTGAAGAAATATATAGCGGCGATGCCCAGCGTGAAGCGGGAGTCCCAAGCATCCGGAATGATGCAGAGCCGGGTGGAGGCCCAATTGTTCCACCCCACGACGGGGAGCAGGACGATGACGAGGGTCGCGACCCAGGAGCAGCCCAGAAGGGTCATCCACAGGGTGAGGTTCGCGTTCAGGCTCCAGCTGCGCTTGTGGTGCAGGATGAATAAGTACTGCTCCCCGACGATGAGTATCAGGTTGAATATGGTGGAGAAGATGGCCAGCAGCAGGATTCCGCTACTGCTCAGGTAGCAGATGGAGTAGTTCTTCAGGAAGCCCGCGCTGATCCTATCGGAGAGAAAAATGGAGGGATCGATTTTCATCTGCATCGTGAGATGGAATGCCTGGCAAAGAAATGCAAATCAAGGTTTCTTTATTGATTCTGGCGGAATATTGGAAGGCGAAACCTTGTAATTTTTCGAAATATGTCGCTTTAATTTCACCCTAAAGAATATTTGAAAAGAAGAGAGAGTCTTGCTTCTAAAATTGAGGATTCAAACGCGAAAAAAAATACGGAAAATATTAGCGGGAAAAGACGAATAGGAGCATGAAGCGAACGAGGATCCTGACCTGTCCGAAGAGAGGGTGAGAGGGCTGGTGATGATCTGGATGGGATAGACGACGATGAAGGTGGTGAAAAGCCCGGAAACGATCTGGTTGAAGAGGAGGAGATGCCGGACGTGAGACTGAAGGAGCCGAGCCGATCCCCGGAGGAAGATGAAGAGGAGGAAGCCATTGGTGAGGAGGCAGACGGTGGCGAGGCTCACGCTGAGCACCAAGTAGACCTTCTGGTCCAGGCTCGGCTCCACCAGCCGTGGCTCCCACAGGCTCATGGCTCAGGTGGACCCCTTCCCCTGCCGCGGGACATCGATCCATTTTCAACGGTGTTATCCGGGTAATGGAGAGGGGGAATGGGCTCGCGGGCACGTCGCCAGATCCATTCCCTACCCCCGCCCTTTCTTCGTTAGCCGGGTCTAAATGCCCGTATTGCGATGGCTGATTTCCTTCCGTCGGGTCAATTTGGATCAATTTCTCCGGTGAATTGGTGCCGTCGCTCCGCACTTTCCTAGGGTCTGCATAGGTGTCGGTGGGAATAGATTGCTTCGTATTGATTTCCGCTGAGAACCCCGCTAAGAATCCGGATAAAAGCTTCGGAAACAGCGTCACTCTTTCTCACCCCCCTCTCATTATCCGGAGTCCCAATCCGTATATCTGCGTGGGAATTGAGATTTTTCCTCATTTATTTCCAGGGAGTTCTTAATTGCTTATCCCCCGAGGAAATCACGCTCGGTTCTGTCATTGGATTAATTAAAAGTTCCATGGGATCAGCGGGGAATTTATATGGGTCGTGCTCGCCCCGGCCTCTCCCCTATCTCTTCGCATTTTGCCCTTTCTCGTCTCATTGTGCTCTTTGTAGGTTTAAGTGAGACTGTATCGCCTGGTTGTTAGGGGAAGTGTGTTTGATCGAATGCTGAGAATGGCCTCTTTCCTGCCGCCCCCCTCCCCCCCCCCCCCCCCCCCCCCTCGGTCTCTCTCCTGCCTGGCTGTAGATTGAATTAACTCCTCTCCCCTTCGGAGTAGCTCCTTCAGGCCCTCATTACTAAACATGACAAATCCAGACGCTCTGAAAAGCAGATTAAGTCCTGCGATTAAGAGCTGTGACGTCGTTTCCTTCCGTAGCCCTCGACGTCGTAGCCAATTGACATTGCATTAATGGAAACTGACGGCTATGTTCTTTCCTGTCTCGTACAAAAAGAGTTATCCTCTTGATACGCGATGACAGCATTAATGGCGTTGTTGCCTTTTCTGATCCCCTGATAGCGACTGAATTCATTTCTGTTCGGAAGTGTTATCGAAAATGCGGACCTGCAACCTTTTGTCAAAGGAAGGGGAGGGGACAGCAGTGGGAGTGAAAAGGGGGGGGGGGGGCAGTAGTGGGAGTGAAGGGAGGCGCAGACGCGAGGAAAGGATTGAGAGGAGAGTCTCTCCTGAAAATGCGGACCTGCAACCTTTTGTCAAAGGAAGGGGAGGGGACAGCAGTGGGAGTGAAAAGGGGGGGGGGGGCAGTAGTGGGAGTGAAGGGAGGGCAGATGTGGGAGGGGCGGTTGGGGGGCAAAGATCGTAATTGACGTACAGGTATTGATAAGCACTCACCTCGTCGAGGACGGATGCAGAAGACGTGAATTGGGATGTTTCTGGGGCCTCGTGAGGGTGGAGGATGGAGGGTGATCCTGGCACCTCGCGAAGATGGAGGGTGGTTCTGGCGCCCTGCGAGGGAGAGACTCTCCTCTCAATCCTTTCCTCGCGTCTGCGCCTCCCGCCCTCTCTGAAATGCCATCGAATGGATGAAAACACTGGGACAGGGGAAGGGGACTGTCATAATATGCCTGTCTTCCTCTACTGATTTCATTTCCTCCCCCTGTCTTCCCCTAGGGGGTTCATTTCCTTCCTAAAGAGGAGCCTCTCCCTCGAGATGTGCCGCTTTCTCTGCATTTAGGAATCTCCCTGTTTTTGAATTCCCTCCTTTTTCGTCCTATCTCTTCTCTCTGTGCTCTTTCATGAAAGTTTAAGCATTTATCGCGTTTCTTCGATGTGTCACTCGGAGCTGTTACCATGGCGAAGGGGGCAGTGGGAATCTCGAAAAGTTCAAGAAGGAATTTTCTATGAGAAATTTCTCTTCCGGGACACGTAGATGTCTCCGCGGGGAGGCATTCAGCGGAGCAGAGACGAATGCGAGGGGGGGGGGGGGGAAAGATGGTGTCAAATACGAAATTAGGTGGCGAATGCTTCGTTTTGTGATGCGATTGGTGCGTTTCGACTGGGGAAATGTGACGATAGGATTAGGATCTTGATTTTCTAGGGGGGGGGGAGAAAAGATGGCGATGATGATGATGGTTTTCGTAATGTAATGTCGTGTCTTGTCCCCGCCATTTGTATGCAGAGCAAGGGGAATCCCTCTCCGCGTTTTCGGGACGAGGGAGGAATGAAAGAAACGCGAGAAAAGGGGAATCGGGTCAGTCGATGGATCAGGGGGATTCCCTCGGATGCGGATGTATTTACACGGAGAAATGGAAGGGGAGAAATGTATAGGAACATATATACTGTATATGAGGGGGGATGAGGTTATTATGAGACGGGGTGCCTAGACATCTGATCCAGATGAGTGATGGAGGTTTTTTTTCTTTTCTGCTGATTCTCTGTCTTCTACCAAGAAGGGGCCGGCAGATGTGGCAAGGTTCGTTCCAACGAGAAAGGAAAAAAAAAAGCAAATACAATCTTCCTTCCTGTCATCTCATCAAATTGAGGACGTCCTGCCTCGTTTCGGGGCTGGAGGGAAGAAACGTTGGAATTTCATGAGATTGCTGGGATGAGATAGAATTTTTTTTTGCGTGGGTTTTCTATCTTTTTTTTTCCCCCTTCCGAAAGGAAACGGGAAATAGCCGGCTTCGCCTGTCCGAAGGGTTATAAGCAGAGGTACAAGGAAGAGCCGGACGTGAGAGGAAAGGGAAGGGATGGCTTCCCTCGAGGGAGGGAGGGAGGGAGGCTGGGCGAGGGACGCACTCGAATCCCCTCATTTCACCGAATTGAGTCCATTCGAGAGAGAGGTATCCGCTTCCTTGCTCGTTTGAGGATGAGCTCGAGAGGGACGGAAGGATTAATTATGCATGGCTGGTGGGGTCCATCTTGTTTGCCCTGTGTCGTTCTCGGGCGTAATGGTCTCTGTCGTCTCGGGGAGTGTTTGTAAGGGATGGGGGACTCCTTTTGTGCCATTGTGAGGGCCGGAATTGGAGGGGATTGTCAGGTTTGGGTTGTCGGGGCTTTCGAGTGATATTGCCTGGATCCCGCGTTTATGAGAGCTCGTTTCTTCGAGGAAAGAAATATATCGTTTTTTTTTGTAATAATGGCGGGGCTTGGTACGTGAAATCGATATCAGTGCAGATGAAAGGCCGAGGTGTTTTATGGTTTCAGTCTCTCACTTGTTCATTGTGGTTTATGGCCCATTCCTACCGCGGTTAGTGGGAAAATTTCCTCTCTCGTGTAAATCCCGCTTCCTTTTCGAGGCGAAGAGGAGAAAGAAAAACGGCTGGAAGAGCAAAGAGAATTCATGCTTTATTCATGCACCTTGGAATCCTCCAAGACAGCGACGATTTTTTCCCTTTCTTTCCTTTCATTCCTCTTGTCTTCCTCCCCGCAAGAGGTAATCCCGTTCACCGTGGCGATTGATCTTGGGGAAAGGGCTTCCTGGAACTTGGAAATGGACAGGTCCCAGTGAAGTCAAGTGGATCCAGGCAGGGAAAGAGCTCATCAATGATAATGAACTCTCCCCTTTTTCCTTTTCCCTTCGGATCCGTGCCTCGAATATCTCCAGTCCATGTTCGGAAAGGGATGAGGGGGAGGGGGGTGGAATAGGTGGACCGTAAGGGGGAAATCCAGTTCGTGCTTTGAATCTTCCTCTAAAAAGTCTCATATAGGTTTAAATTCCATTTCCTGAGGGAAACCTCGAACCATATCGTTGTACTTTCTTTTTCGAGGTTTTTTTGCGCATCGTGATGGAATTTGTCTAGATTTTGTGACTTTGTTTCACTGTCAAATACGAAATTAGGTGGCGAATGCTTCGTTTTGTGATGCGATTGGTGCGTTTCGACTGGGGAAATGTGACGATAGGATTAGGATCTTGATTTTCTAGGGGGTGGGGAATTGGGAAGGAAAAATCCATGAAAGTGAGTATAAAGAGGTCCCTAATTTGGGAAAATGGAATAGATTGTTGATTCGGAGACGCATAGAGGATGGATTCGAGGGGGAAAGGGGGGGAAATAGGAAGCCTGGAGGGGGAAATAGAAAGCCTATTAAGGGGAAATTGGAAGCCTGAAGGGTGGCTGGCCGAGGAGGCCCGGAGGCCTGGCGGGTCGAGCTGGCTGGGAGGGGGGCACTAAAAAAAGAGGCTGGAAAAGACGACGATTAATATCGAGTTAGAGAGAGAGAGATCGGGATCGAGGGAGGAAAGAGATGAGATTGAGACGTTGATGGATGAATGGCTGGAGGGGCGGAGATTTCCTCCTCCTCTGCCTCTCTTTCCTGAAAAACGATGAGACTTAATGACGAGGAGGGAAAGAGGGGTTTTAAGCGAGACCTTCCCTTTTTCCTTCCTTATCTCTGGTCCTCCCCGTGATGAGATTCTTCTCGATCGTGGCGTCCTTTGCGATGCGGGGGCCTGGGGCTTTTCGGGGAGATTGTCGGGGATCCCCTTTGAGATGGGAAAGGCTCATTCCGTGTGGTACGAGGAAGTTCATTCGGGTACGAGGCAGCAAACAGTGTTATGGGTCCCAACAATCAGTGGCTTCTAGGAACGAGGAAAACCATGGAAAGCTCATTATTGCTAATTTCGCGGTAATGGAATCCGAAGTGTTACCACTTTCCACTTAGGTTCATCCTCGGGTTTATTCCTTGACGTTTTCAGGAGCGGGAAGCTCGATTTTATTCACTGTCGCCTTTTCCCCCTAGACTGCACCTAGATTCAGTCTCTCACTACTAGTTGATAGACTACTAGATTTACCTTGGTAGAGTTCCAGCCAGGCTTTCGTAACTTCATAATTATATTAATATTTAGGAATTTCCGATGCCACTCAGTTTAACAATGTAACTCCCCACCCCCGGCTGATAAATGCAACCTTCCAGAAGAAAAGAGTTCTGACCCTGGAGTATGCAGTTTTTCCCCCCTTTAGCGTATCCTCAATCGTTGCCAACTGGCATATCTTACAATTGCCGAGAAAAGCGCACTTATTTAAAGATGGCAGTGATTTAACCCTTTTGTGAGCAAATTTGTTCTCATGTGCAACTTTCCCAGAGGACGGGGAGAGTCGAACGTTTTCTGGGGAACATGCTTCCCACTGCCTAGGAAAGAGTTGAATGCCCTGGATCTGTCGGTTGAGCTCGTGTGCTTGTCAGCGCGCTAATCAACCGTAAGTGACAGGAGGGAGGGAGCAGGACGCCTGTCCGAGCATATGTCTCGTTGGGAGAGGAGAGCGGAGGAGTGAAGAATTACTTTTCTTGGTATGGAGTGGTGGGGCTGGAGGTCTACAGAGACCCCAAAGATCTCCTTGTGCCCTTCCAATCAGACAGAGAAAAAGTTTCTTGTCTCTTGCAATTCCCACTGCAGATGGATGTCATCCGTGAATGTGCAGAGGGCAATCTGGAATGAGCTGCGAGAGTAGGGTTCTTTTATGGACGTATCATCAGCGCCCGTGTATTTTTTCCCCCCTTCTCCGAACTCGTTCTTTCGAGTCGATTTCTTGGGAAATGGATATGGGGATCTGTGAAGAGTGACAGAGACAGACTTGGAGAGTGCTGGGCTTCGTGGCAATGATAAATGCCTATGATCAGGTGGGGGAAGAGGGAAAAGAAAAATGCTCAGACAGGCATGTGGCCTGCCAAGACCTTTCCCCCCCTTCCTCCGCTATTTCCCCTCCTGCAGCGCTTCCTTCCTCCTCCATGTGCGACACTTCAGACACCTGCGGGTTTCGATTCCGGTCCCCCCCTTTACACTGCCAATGCATCTTGATCCCTGATGAAACCCTCTGCGGTGACATGGACCCTTCGATTATAAGTGTTAAAAAACTAAAAACCATGTCATGTAGTGGGAGTAAAGAAAACCGATTGCCAACGAAAGTTGTTTAAGTGTTTAACCAGTCCTGGAAAAACAGAATCGACAGCCTTTTACATGTGACATTTTTTCGATGTCAATATCTCTGCGTAGTTTTTAAAGGAAATATATGTATTTGTATCTGATAGGCAGGAAGGATTTTATATTTTTTTGGTCGAGGGGGGAGTCGGTCCGTGTCGAAAATTTCTCGGCTAGATCCCTGCTTGGAATTGTTTATCTCATGATGCAATGAAATCTTGCCTTTTGCTACCGTTGTACTTTTGAGTAAAAATAAATAAATACAGGGCGATTATAAAGTCCTGTGGGGTGTTTACAGTGCAGTATCGACCAAATTAGATGGAGTTGGGTCACCAAACTTGCTGAGTGCACATATAATGGCACGAGAAGGCCATTTGTATCACAAAAGTTGAGATGGTGCCACTATAATACCAGGTGGCAGCAACATTACCCGCTACACAATATAAAGCCAGACCATCTGGCCTGGGCACACACTCTGAAGAGAGCGGGAAATTGATGATCCCTCCAGGAAAAGGCTAACCTCGTCAAGCATTATTATCTTAACGGATGCAACGCTGAACAAGCTCTTCATGCATATCGGACTGAGACAAGTGCCCGTCTTGGGCCCTGTACGATCCAGCGATTCAAGCGATGGCGCTGCCACCTGGAATGATAGTGATGCCATCTCGACTTTTATTATGTAAATGATCCTCTCATTTCACTATCTGTGCAACCTGCATGCTTGCTGATCTAACTCCATCACTTTAACCACTACGGTACCTGTAATCACCCTGTAAATAATAATAATAATAACTTTGGGCAACGTGTATCAAATCGATTCTGCGCTGATTGGATTACTTTATCTTCCAATAAGTGATATATCGAGAACGAAAGGTGAACTTATATGAAATGAATTCTTGGAAGTAAGTAATGAATCTCGAAATCGATGGCTCCGTCATCCATCATCACTAGGTGTTTGAAGGGGGATGCTTGGGGCCTCTGCGACGAAGGTCACAGGAAGCCGGGTCACGGGTGGGCGAGAGGGATCCGGTAAATGATGAATGATGAATGCCAGAGGATGGATCTCCTTTTTCTCTCACTCCCTTCATGTATTTATTCATAGCGCCAAAATCCCCTTGAGACTTCCAAAGAGGGTTTTCCTTGCATAGGATCTCCTTTCCTGCTTTATTTCTTTCTTTCGGGGATCTTCTAAGCTCTTATGAGACATCGCCATGAGACAATAAGCTGATTTTGTTTGTGAAGGTATTCGGCGAGAGGAACACTTCTCGTTGGAGTAGGACTGCAATGGGAGGGAGGCTCCTCGTCTGAGGGAGGCATTCTGTTGTAGGGAGGCTCCTTGCTGGAGGGGGGCATTCTATTGTGTGGGGGCTTCCTGCTGGAGTAGACACGCAATGGAAGGGGCTCAGCTGCATCAGCAATTGATTTGCTGCAATGGACATATTTCCCTCTGTCCTCATTGTGATCAGAAGAGGTCCCTGTTGCATAATGCAAGAGGGCAGAGGGGACATCTTTCTCTTCCCGATTTTCTGTCACGTTATCTTCCCCTTTTTCCTCCACTGGCCGTTTTATGGAGACCGTGCGTCCTGTTCTCTTAGGCTCCTTTTTCCTTCACACCAACACTGGGAATATAAAGTAACATTTGGAAAATACGCCCTTTTATGTCACTCTGAATTGCTCATGCACTTTGTGCTGCACTTTTCTAGGTGTCCCATGAGAAACTTCATGAGGAGTCGAGAGAGGCACAGAGTAAATCGATGGAGAAAGAGGAAGCCCTGAGGAAAGAAATGGAAAATTTGTCTGAAGCACTCGGGAAGAGCCAGGGAACTTGGAAAAGCCTCCTGGAAGAGAAAACCACCTGGGGGGAAGAGAAGAACAGGCTCCTATCGCAGATCTCCCAGTTGCAGGACCAGAGCTCGACGCTGAAGGAAGCGGCCCGACAGGCGGAGACGCGAGTGACAGCCCTCGTCGCGGACGTCACGGCGGGGGAAGCTGTGAGGGCGCAGGTGGAGAGCGAGCTCATTGCCCTGAGGCAGACGGTGGAGGAGAAGGCGCAGGTGCAGGCGAGGGAGCAGGAAAGGCACGCTCGGCGCGTCCGGGAGCTCGAGGAGCAGCTCCGCCTCCGGGAAGCGAACGCGGTGCAGGTCGAGAACGGGCACAACGAGGTGCTGAGCAGGGTGGAGGGGGATTTGCGCCGCTTGATCCAGTCCGTGAGGAATGAGGTCAATGCGTTCCACATGGCGTGTCCGTATCCGGAGAGCGGCAGCGGTGGGGATTCGTTGACGTCCGAGTCGGAGTCTTCGAGCTTGGAGTTGGGAGTGACCGAGTCGGACGTCCTGATCAAAGAACTGAATCACGTGATCCAGTATGCCATAAAATCGGCGGCCGAGAAAACCGAGGCCGATTCGCGGTGGACGGAGGCGGAGCGACACGTGGCAAGTCTGCGCGAAGACTTGGAAGCGACCAAAAAGAACCTAGTGGAGGTGGAGAGCCAGGTCCAGGCGTCTCAACGCAGCCAGGAGACGATGCGACAGAAACTGATACAGGTCGCTGGGGAGGCTGCAGACGGGTCGATGCCTTCGGAAGATCTCCTGAATGAGGTCGCGTCGGCGACTATCAACCTCAAAAACGAGGCCCGGGCCTTGGCCCGAGTCTTGAACGTGGCCAAAGAATCAGGTGTTCATGTTGCCATTGAAGAATCTAGTCTTCCGGAATCGGAACTCTCTTGCGAAGTCAAGGAGATTCTGGTGAAGCTCAGGGATCGAGAAGAAGCAGCAGCGCGCCTGCAGAAGGACCTCTCTCGCATTCTCCGATTCGTCGAGGAACAAGAGCAAGAACAAGGAAGCGAGCGCGGCGAGGGAGACGTGATGGACCGACTGACGGCCGTCCTCCGCTTCAGACGAGACCAGTGGGAGTCCAAGGACGCGAAGATCGACCAGCTAGAGGAGGAAGTGGAGACACTGAAGGCCCGGCTCGCGGCGCAGGAGCCCAAGCCGACCAAAGCCCAGAAGACCCTGGAGCGGAAGCTGGCGGCGTTCCGCGACGAGCTGACCTCCCTCCAGGAACGCCATCGGGAGGAGCTGGAGGATCTCCGCCAGACCCACCAGTTGGAGATGGAGGAGCTCGAGAGGGCCCTCCTCGAGAAGCACTCGCCTCGGGAAAGCTACGAAGACCGCACGAAATCGCTCCTGGAAGAAAGGTCGGTGACGATTCTCCGTTTCTCTCAGAGGAAAATCATCTTCAAACTGATGCTTTCCATTCTGTCCATTCTGACAAATTAGCACTACGCGAATTGGTTTCATGAAAATCTGGTACTGTGAACGCACTCTGGAAGCCTCAAGCCACAATTATGTGGTACCAATGCTGCTATATAATTCCTTCAGTCCATAGGGCCTTGGAACAGTGGTCTCTTATTCACCTTGCCGGCAGAGGCTGCAGGCTAAATTTGGAGATGCCTTCATCTAATTAATGGGCCATGGCACACTGAAAACCAGAGGCCATATATATTCAACCTGTCACACTTGAAGGATTGGCGGAAGTGTACATTCCATTCCATTCCATTCCAGTACTGAATTGATTGGTGGTGAAATCGAGGCTAAGTCGAATTACCATCTCATTGCATTCAAATGGGGCACCCGCCATGTTGGGAGTTGAAGCAACCGTTTTGCATCAGTGATTGGGGATGCATCCCGTGATCAGACCACCGTATTGCTATAAAACAAATTGAATTCTCCCAGTTTGAGGGTAAATCTGAAGACGGTTATTCGTGAGGGAGCGGGAGAGGGGTTTGAGGGAAAGGGGTTGAGGAGAGATGAGTGCCTCTCCTGTAATTGCAGTAGACGTATAAAGTTTCCGATCAACCCCCGTCCCCCCTCTCCTCCTTCCCAGTTCCAAGAATCTCTCTTTTGATTGCGGCAGATGCCCAAGAAGGTCGAGCAGACCCCCTCTCCGCTTTCTCATCTTCTTCCCCCTCCTTAAAACTCAGATCTGGTTCCACTCGACGAATCTCGTAGAGCCATGTGTCGGATCGATAATTGAATAGAATAACAGATGCGTCGCGACATCAGAGACCCCCAATTCCCGTATTGACGAAATTTCTTTGCGAGTTTCACCCCCTGCCATACAAACGAGACGCAACTTTTTGAAATTGGGACGCCCCGAGTATATTGGATGGAAAGCCGAGCGTGCCTCCCCGAGCATTTCCGCGAAGAGGCCTGCACGGGCTGCGGTCCGGGCCTGTTTGGCCCGACCCGACTCGCGGGTATGCCAAGGCTTCATCAGAGACCCTTATTACTGTAGATTAGAGCCCACTGCGGGCCGTGTAACTTGCGAGTTGAGGGTCGTTCGGAAGGACAAGACTCGAATCGAGCCAAAAAACAAATTTAGTCAAGAAAATAATTCAGCTGGCATCCCCAACTAGTCTATTTATTAATAATGAGAGCCTGAGTTTAAGAGACACAAAGCAAATTTTTAGGCAATTTTCGATTATTTTAATTACTATAATTAGCATAATTCGATTTAAATTTCCACAATTGATAATCAAGAACAATTATAATGAAATTAATATAATTCAATTACGAGGGGTGTCTTAAAAGTTACTGGAAACGTCTAATAAACACTAAACCATTGTTTTCATCGTTACCAAAAGTGGTACACAAAAACATCACACCTCCCTTAGCCCTCAAAATAATCACCGTTCGAATCTATGCACTTCTGCCATCTGAAGAGCAACAATTGTATACCCCTTCTGGAGGAGCCTGTACTTGTCATGATCTTGCAGCATTTTGAAGATTGTCGCCACAGATGAAGCGTATTCCACTGCGTTTTTCCTTCTAACTGGCCAAACTGATGATAGTCGGAGGGGGATATGTCAGCGCTATATGTTGGGTAGCTGGCAACAGTCCACGGAAAATTGGCGATAGCTTGCATTGCTTTGAACGCCAGCTACAGGAAGACACAGGGTTCTACAGAAGGGGTGTACAGTCCTTGCCCTCCAGATGGCAGGAGTGCATGGAGTGAACAGTGATCCTGAGGGCTAAGGGAGGTGTGATGTTTCTATGAACCGGTATTGGTAGAGATGAAAACAATGTTTTTGTTTTTATTAGATGTTTCCGGAAACTTTTGGGACACCCCTCATATTAAATCATTGTAAGTAAATTGAGTGTTGGGGATGCCTGCTTGATACTTATTTTGCTGAACTTTTCTGACTCCTCTATATCCATGCGGATCCCACTCTTATGGAAATGTAGTGGTTGGACCTTTAACCATTATCGTCCTCGGTCGGATTTGGTTCAGAAATATGGACCCGTGCAGGCCTCCAGAGGGCTGACGGAAGGTTGAGCAGACAGACATTGAGCAGACAGACACGCAAACAAACATTTGCTATTATTATATAGCTTTGATGGATTGAAGTGTGCCAGGAGTGATTCCAAATGCGATTTTTGTTTGCAGGGAGAGGCTGTTAGACCTGAACAGTTACCAAGTGAAGCTGATCGTGGATCTGGCCCAATACCTGTCCGTGGTGCAAGGAACAATTAAAGAGGCGTTCCCTCACGATCAGTTCCTCCTCCCGATCTCCCTCAGTTCCACGTCCCGCCTGTACCTGCCGGAGAGAATGTCTCCGGAAGGCAGCGCCGTCGAGAACGGGGACAGCGAACGGAGTCAGCCGAGCCAGGAAGAGGACGAAGGCGGGGAAGAAGGCGAATCGCCTCAGCACGAGTTGCTCCGGCGGCAGCAGGAGGACAGCAGGAACTCGCTGGAAGTGTCGTCCCGGCGGATCCACCACAGCGGTTCCCTGCTCGACTTCACCTTCCTGGAGGAGCTGGGGGAGGGCGTCCCGGACGGGAAGGCGTTCCGCAGCTGCAAGGACCGCCTCCAGGGCCTCAGCTCCCAGGTCCAACTGTCCACCTCGAGGCTCGTCGCCGCCGTCGACTCCGGTCACCGGGAGGGGGAGGATCCCGAGGGCCCCGATCGTCTCTGCTCCGTCATCTGGGAGGCGGACGTTCACCATCTCCAGGTTAGTGGCATCTGAGATGGAACGGTCGCGATTCCCAGTATTTTCGTTGTATAGTCGGTGTGCTCTAGTTTGGCACCCGTGACAAGCTCTCACTAAGCCCTGCCTCTTATTATGATTAACTCTTGAGGAATGAATCTGATGGGATAGTGAGTTTTCAATTCCTCATACAAATGACAACCAGTAAGATACTTGACCGTAATTTTTTTTCGTGAATTTTTTCGATTTGGTGCAAGTTCATCGCTTGCTCTCTCTCTCATGGAAATATATAAATTGTGCTGTGGATGAGAACCATGATTGAACACAATACTGAGACTTCCCATCAGGATAAGATTGCAGTCCACATCAAAGCATCTTCTTGCTTCTTCATTTTTTCCCCAGAGATGTTTCTGTACTGCTGAATAATGAATAATGAATGAGAAAAGTGAAAAGGTTGAATTAAGAGATCGAAGAGGCATTTCCAAGAGCAGGAGAGGCAGAAGTGAGCGAGTATGGGACCCAGTTGCTGCTGCTGCTCATGAATTTTTTAAATTCCTAGTATGCATCTCAAGGAGTCCATGATTGAGTGAAAAAAGCTTTCAGCATGGTCCATTATGGCATGGAAAATTTATCTGGAAGTGTACATCCTGTTACCAATCCCTTAATGTAACCTTTTCATGAGCATGGTGGTTTCCTGGTCTCTAAAGTCACCATGCACCACTAGTTGGCACACTAAGTTTGCTCAGAAGATAATACATGGAGTATGAGTAAACTGTACATCCTTCATGTCTTCTAAGTCCTTGTTCTCAGTCCTTCAGCATCAAGCCTCTAGGTGGTTGGATTATGGATGAGCTAATGCCTCCAGGATGCAATGCATTAAATCTTTTATCTTCTTATTTTCTTACTGTATTCCCTTGAACCATTATCATTCACTTTGGTGATCATGCATCTGCATCTAGAATTACTTGGATAGAAATGAGTTATGTCTACAGGATTATGGGATTCCACTGGAGATGTTTCACATCTTCACATCATGTCTGTGGTGTAATGGCAATGAGCCTATAGTAAGCACACCTATTGATGTTACCAGGGACAGCTGGAGCTGGTCACAGAGGAGCTGAAGCAGGAGCGGGAGAGGAAGGAGAGCCTGGCCGTGGAGCACAGTCGCTGCCAGGATGTCATCCGGAGCCACAGAGATGAAGAACGTCACCTCAGGGAGCATGTCAAGTCCGTGGAGAAGCAGCAAGAGGCCTTGGAGGAGTTGGTGGACGAGCTGAGGTCGAAGGTCGAGTTTCTCGAGAGGGAGGAGAACCAACCCAAGACGGTGGAGGAAATCCACTCCACTCGAATGGACTGGCTCACCGAGGTCCATGACAAAGGTGAGTTGCCTTGCCAAATGTGAGCTGTTGTTTCGTTGATTTGTGTGGCTAATCAAATTTAAATGAAAATTCCAGCCAAGGAACTGATGAATGAGAAGGAGATAGAGGCTCTGGACAGGAGGATGCTGCTTACCCGGGTTCATGAGCTTGAAGTAATGTTCGAAGAAGTCACATCGGAGAGCGAGCGGCTTCGCGAAGAGTGCCACAGGGAGGTTGAGGATCTTCGACATCAGGTTGCTGTCATGTTCATAATATCTGGCTCTTTTTCTTTGTAACCTGCTTTGAGTAGTCAGTTTCTCACTATCTGTAATGGGATCTTGATGTTGTAGGTGTTAACTCCTGTCACAAGCTAAAAACCAAAAACTGAAGTCAGAAAAAAACATTCAAATTGAACTGAAAGCATACTTTATGTGCTGGCTTGTTTTTAATTTTAAGTATTTTTATTTCCAATTTAGACCAGAGATAGATGCTGACTTTTATTGCATCAACAATTGATTGTGGTTGTTTTCCATATTGTACAAGGGGAGGTTTTGATCCAAGATGATATATGGAGATATGCATCACTGGATCTATCATTATCATTATGTGTCAGAATGAAATACATCTTGTGTCATGTGTGCATGTCTTTTCCTCAGCAGTACGCTTCCTGTTGTCTATTTGCATCGCATCAGTCATCAGAGGGATCTGTTTCCCTTCTCAGGTGGAGGCAGCAGACAATCAGTTGAAGTCGGTGAGACGGTTCCTGGACGAACAGGCAGCAGAGAGGGAACAGGAGCGGGAAGAGTACGGGAAGGAGATCCAGTGCCTGATGGATGCCTTGAAGGGGAAGGACAAATCGGGCACTGCTGAGCATGACCTCCATCTAGAGGTGACTTTTAGAGGGAAAAATTGCATGCTCTTGCCTTCACTCTCACTCTCTTTCACTCATGTTCACACTTTCTTTGAGTGATGTAATTTTTGCACAATCCTCATTCACATAGACAAGGAATGAGAAGGTGGTGGGTTTCCATGGTGAAGGGTCTCACGAATGTGTAAGTTCTTCCTTGTCTCTCTGCAACCCTCTTCCTCACCCCTCACGCATGGCATGAAGTTTCCTTGCTTGCTTCAACTGTGATATATTGTGGTCCTTTGATGCGGTGCATGTCACCTGATGGTTTTCTTACGTTTGCGATGCAGATGGAACGACTTAACAGTCAACTGAAGGAGCGGCACGAGAAGGCAACACAAGCTGACAAGTGCATAGCAGAGTTAGAGAAGCAACTTGAGGCATCCAATGACAAGGTTGGTGGTATTGTTTTGTGTTCCTGGTTAGGGTCCTTCACCTGTGCAGACTTAGAATCATGTTCGGCAAGTTGATGTTTGCATTAGATGGGGATCCTGAAGGAGAGGATTTCAGCACTGGAGACTCAGTTGGAGCAGAAGAGCGAGAGTGAATCCATCTTGCGAAGACAAATTGGGGACCTGGAGGTGGCACTGCATCAACAGGAGGAACTTCTTATGCAGGTGAGAACTTTTTCTTTTCACCCTTTTCTTTTTCATGAAAAGAAGTGAGATCCCATTGATAGGGAAGATGCAAAAAAAATAAATGAAGTGGATATGAGATGTGATAGGCCTCTTCCTAGATAAGGTGTCCCTTATAAGAAGTGGAAAGTGATAGATGATATCAAGTGAAAGGAAGTTCCTTCCTTTATTTTCTCTTCCACTAATTTTTTGAGCGAAAATAAAGGATCTCTGATCTTTTCTACTTGAACTTATTGATGCCTCAGTGGTTTATTTTGTATTTTGTGATGTCTCCCTACGCTGGACCAGAAATTGTTGCACATGTTTGCTTCAATGACCAGAGAGATCATTTGCATCAAGTTGCAGGACTTGCAAATATTTTTTGAGCATGTATGCTGCCTTGTAGACGACTTAATTTATGTCAATTGGTTGCATTATCAGCTTGAAGAGCGAGATCGGAGTCGAGTGGAAGCCGACACCTCCATTGCGGCGACGGAGAGCTCGGAATGCAGCTCCCACGGTCCTGCCGTCCACCTTCAGTGTCTCCGAGATGAGCTGCGACAACAGGCAGGCCTCTGTCTCTTTTGTCCATGGTGAATGACAGAAGGGAACGTTGCTTGAATTGCATTCTCATGTTGACAGCTACAACTGCTGGAAGGGAAGGTGGACCTGAAGACCAGGGAATTGGAAGCTCTCTGCTCGTCCATGAGCTCCAGGGACTCCCCCTCTTCGAGTCGGACTCCCACCCCCACTCCAGTCTCTTTATTCCCTCCACTCAAGTGAGAATCAGCAACTAATCAAATCTATATTTTTCAATCTGAAGGTTTTTCTTTATGTTATATTTTTATATTTGAAATTATATTTTATTAAGGCCCAAACTATTCACTTTAACAGTAGAACACTACCATTTATTTTACTGCGTTACTGTCATGATTTTCTTTATAGACCTTTGTTAAAGAAGTTATGAAATACAAACTTGGCTTCTTATTTATTTTTTGCACATTTCAGCTTGAAAATTCATTCAGTTTGCTAAACTCTTTGCTCAGTCTGGTTCAGAATAAATATTGGATTTGATGTCATGTAGGGTACAAGGAATGGGAAATGAGAGCCTGGGCTCCACAGAAAGCCTTCTGAGCAGCACGTTACTGAAGGAGCGGGGGGAGTTCATGGACCCGGGACTGACGGAAGAACTGAAACGCTTGGAGGAGAAGCTGGAATTCCTGGCCAAAGCTGAGGAATCCCTCCTCCTCAAGACCAGAGAATTTGAGGAGCAGCTAAGGGCATCTCGCAAGAGGGAACAGGTGTCTTATCCTCCCCTTTTACCTAGTCGGCGTAGTTTATTTGCCGTGTGCATGTTACTGGCCGCTATGTGCAGGTTTTGATTGAGATTGAAAGTGTCAGAATGGCTGATCCACTCTCAGAACTTGCACTTGGAGTCTAGCTCTGCAGTGGGGATATTTGGCACACTGGCTGTCACATATATGCAGTATTTCTCACAGAAATAATTTTAAGCAAGCAGGATTGCAAGGGGAGGTTATTGATACGTTATCTGTTGCAAATCTCTGGAAAAACAAGTGTAGGCTCTGTCCAGCCCTAGGAAAAAGGCACAGAAGGTTGTGAACAGAGGAGTGACTGTCTTTTGGGAAACATGTACCAGGTGTTGCACATAGGTAGCCCCCTACTCCACAGCCTAAACTATAGAAGCTAGGAAAATTTTTAAAATATATTTGGAATCCTTGTTCAATTTTGAATCTATTCTATCCAATTTGTTTTTTTTTTCTGATGTCACATGATGGTGAAAAACTTAAATTCATTGATCACACACATGCTATTACATTTCGAGTTCATGATGCCAGAGCTGAAGTTCATGTTTAGATTCAAAAATGAATGCTCTTTCTCATGATATATGAGTTTTTTTCCTAGCTCTTATAGTTTAGGCTGTGGAGGAGGGGTCTATCTATGTGCTACACCCAGTATAATTGTCTATGAGGTCAAGTTTTTTAAATGATTCTTGAACGAATGCATAGATCTTTTGCTTCATCAGGATCAAGAGATCATTAACATGCTGTAATGCATTCCCTTATGTTAATTTTGCATGTTCTTTATGCCATATTTTTCTGAACATTAGCATTTTGCTTGTGTCTCTTTTTTTATCATAAGTGAAAACACAAGGTTATGTTGTGAACGGTGACAGGAACTGGAGGGTGATCGCCGAGAACTGCAGAGGCAGGTGAACGCACACCTGCAGACGATCTCGGACCTCCAGACGGCCCTGGAGGAGGAGAAGCACGGGAGCCTGGACCCCGAGGAGCTCATGGAGCGCATTGCCCTCCTCACCCAGGAGCTCCACTCAGTGCGGGTCATTGCAGACTCCAAGGAACGACAGGTATGGGTATAGTCTCCTCATCCTCTGTAGGAAGGGACAGTAATAAGTGAAGATGCAGTTTGGAAACTTAAAGATTAGTTAGACTCCAGTTAGTCCTGTGGATTCCCATCCATTAAAATTTTTTTTCTGCTCATAGATCACAAGTCCTCATTATTTCAATGAGGAACATATACATTTAAAAATTTATGAATGGAATGGTGAATCAAATATGTCACATGCTTGTTATTCTCATGACATTGCTTTTCAATGAAGTGAAAAATTTCATCCTTCAGGATTTAGAAAGATTTGAATGAAACTCACAGTTCATTCTCTAATGTGTTTTACAAATGCCTTCAGAGGAGAAATGGGAAGCCTGAGTGGATACTTTTTCAGCTGCATGCCATCGTCATGTTTCAGAAGCAGTTGTGTCTGAATAATTTAAAAGGATTCAAAGATGAGATCCTGAAGTTTCCAATACAATTTAAGATTCTATTTAAAACTTAAAATTCTGAATGTACCAGTAATTCTCAAATCTTGATGCTTGTTTGAAATTGTTGTGCAGGAATGCTTAAACCATTTCAAGTGATCTGGCTTGCTTGAAAGCCCCATTCTTGGCTTATATTTTGATCCTGCTTTTTATTTTCTTTGAAGTAGTCATGGCCATTATAATATTTACTGATTAGACTTGAAATGAGCATCATCACCATCATTGTGATGAAAATTGTGAGGACAGCCATAGTTAATTTATTGACAGAGAATGGAATACGAGATATTGAAATTCAGTTTACAAATGGGGCTTTCAAGTGAGTCTTAGATTAAATTATTTGGTTCAGGTCTTTCTGAGTTACAGCCTTATGATCATGGATCAGGGTAAGTCATCCTGGATGAGGAATGCAATTAGGTTGTTTTTTTTTTCGCTCATAAATTAAGAAATATATATCTAAAAGATTGATGGGACATTTTTCCTTCTGTGGATGTGCTGATGGGAATCTTTGTTATGGCAGTTGGAGCAGCTTAGATTTGATAGTGAGGAAGCAAAGAAGAAATTGGTGTCGAGAGAAGAGGAGCTGAACAAGTTGCGAGGGAAGGGGACGTGCCAACTTCGACACTGGGTCGCCGAGGACGATCGACGACTCGAGGAGCTCCGTGCGGAGAATCAGACTCTCGGGGTGAGTGGGATTCGGATCCGTGGAGCGGAGTCATTTGTCATTTCGGGGACCATTGGCAATGGGGAGGCCTGGCAAGTGTCGGTGCAGTCGTCATTCGGCGATCCGTTGCGACTTTTCAGGAGAGGCTAGGAGCCCTGCAAGAGGACGTGAAGAAGATCCCCATTCACATCCTCTCTCATTACTTGGAAGGGGATGCGACCGATCCCTTCTCCTCGCTCTTAAATCAATCCTCACAGGTATGTCTACCCTGTACTACATTCTGTGAAGCTTTTGTGATGTCTGCCTAAACTTCATGGGTTGGATAGAGAGTGGAAAGCAGTCAGGTTTGAGGTGTGAGGAGTTGGGGGGGGGATTGGTTGAAACTGGATGAAGAATATGATAGTGATGGGGAGTACTGAGTTGACAGGTCAGCATAAATGGCAGTTATAAAAATGATAAGTTTATTGGATTTGGAGTTGATTATACTGACATGTTCACATGTGAAATGATTTGATCATTCAAAGTCGAAGCTGTGGTATGTTAGCCAAGTTCCTTAAATTAGGTTCATTGTCTAAGGGTTGATTCATGTGAAATGATATTGGAGAAATAGACAGTGGATTATAGAGTGAAAAAGAAAAATGGTGGCAGTGGTGGTAATATGAGGGAGGGGAGGTGTCGAAAAAGGGGTTAACTGCTTGGATTGCCCTGCCACACCGAGGCAAATTAGAGGCAAAGGAAGAGATGTTAATGAGGAGACTCACTGGCATGATGAATGGATCTGTGCCTAATCTTGGCAAGACATTGACCCAGTGGCATCCGATCGGGTGGTATTTTTATCCCCTGGCGGCATGCAGGGAATGCCGATCTTGGCAGGCAGAGGAGGCGTGTTGCGTGCACGTCACGCCAGCCAAATAATGAGCCCTGGCACATGAAACGGCCCAAATCCTTCTCTCCTTTTCCCCCTCTCTCATCCCCCTGGACCCTTGCCAATCTCTGGCAGGGAGGGATCGTGTGTCACTCGGATAAGAGAAATGGAAATAAAAACTCTCATGCTCTCCCTTGGAGACGTTACTCTCTCGGTTTCTTCTTCTTCTCCCCGTTTGCCTTTTTATCCCAGACATGTTTTCCCTTTCTGTGATGTGTGTGCTCTCCTTTCCTCACCCTTCATGCAACAGGTGCTTTGGAATAAAAATGCAAGGCATTTGAAGTAATGTGCACAGTGTTGCTGAATCGTGCCCTGCATATTTCTCCTGTCCCCGGATAGGATGGATGCGTGGAGGTTGAGGTGTTGAGGAAAGACCCCAGACAGACATCCTCACTCAGTGCCATCCTTCCACCTTCCAGCTTCCGAGTCCATTTTCAGCCCGAAGATGTGAGTCCTAACGACTTCCACTTTTCATTTTTATTCGTTCCCTTTGTAACTATTGTATATGAAGTTTAATTCATATCCCCTTCAAATTTTGCCTTAAAATATATTTTCATTGTTACTGTTGTGAGACCTGTTTTTTTCTCGTGGACATACTTGTACTTACTTTTTTGTTTTGGGGGATTCTGTAGGGACAGTTTGGTAGACAAGAATGCCGACTTGTGAGCAGGCCCTTGGTTACTATATGTTGGAATGACTTCCTTTTGAAAGTTCAGGAAGCTTTATAAGGCCTGAACTGAGTCAGTAATAAACAGGTGGCAATCTGAACACAATATACATTTTCTGACTCAAAAATGAATCACAATTCTTATTTGGCATATGGCCAAATACCATTCTATATTTGTATTTGTATTCTATATTTGTCATTCTATATATTAGCAGATGTTTTAAAACTTCCAATAACTTATAAAATCATGGAATTTCTTTGACAGCAGGGTTCTATTGAAACCTTAAAAAAAAAGGAGTTATGTAAGTTACTTAAATTACTTTCATCAATAGTACTAAATGAGTGAAACATAATCCTCATTTGGGGTTACATGAAGTCAACAATAAACAAATGTCATTTTAGGTATGGCTTTTGTGACAAAAGAAGCATAAACGATTTTCCAATGCTCCCTTCCCTGATTTATATTTTGAATTGAGTCTATCAGCAGCTGGGGTGCATCTCTCATTTTTTGTTGTGTCCTGACTTCATGAGAAATGCATTCAATCAGCTTTATTATTATTATGTTTTTTTGTTTCTAGATTTATTTTTCTTGTGATATACCTATTTCCTTTCTGTACAGAGCATGATTTTTCCCTGCAAAACCCTACTACATCTTGCTTTCATTGCATCTACTTTTGTTGCCCCTTCCCCACGCCGCGACGGGTCCTCAGTTCTCGAGCAAAGGATCGAGTCGCCTGCGAACGCCGATTGAGGGCGAGGACCCCGTGTTCCTCACTCCCGATTCTGTCGAACGGTCCAGGAGCCCCGAGGCAGACGGCCCAGACGAACCCGGGCGTCACGACATCTCGTTCGAAGAGGCTCTCTTGGAACGAGAGCAAGAGATCAAAGACTTGCAGAAAATAATTGAGGTGATTGGGTCTAAGCACCAGACTTTCTGGGCCTTGCATTGCCTGCTCCACTGACATAGATTCAGTTTTGGCTAACAAGTCCCCATGCTTGCTGTGGGAAGGTTCTGCTAACAGGGTGGGGCTTTTGCATGATATGCAGCTTGCTGACTGAACTTTCAGGAATGCACATTTGGGTATGGTTTATTAAAGAACTTTCTCATAAATGACTATATTTCTAATAATCAGGTTGGATCAGGCATCAGTGGATTTGTTGTATCAGTGCCACCATTTTTGAGTGAAGGTGCCATTGAAGCTGGTGGATAGAAATTGATCATATGGTTGCAAAGGTGACTACAGTACCTTGATCAAAGAGCTAACACTTTTCTCATGCATCCTCCTCTGACCTGGCTTTTGCAGCAGCCATTTAAAAAATTTTGTGATACTTGCTGTGTGGGGTCTGTGAAGGTAAATCCAAGGAAAGATCTCAAGGAAATGTTCAATGACTGACACTGTCTGATGTTCAATGACTGATGTGGCTGGGTTGCAGAAATTTTCTGGAGGGGATTAAACTGTTGCAGTACCTTTTGCTTGCTATTGTGTGATGTGACTTTTTTCTGATAGTCCTTGAGTCTGTAGTCCTTGAGTCTGCCTTAGTTTGCTTTACTTACACAGAGTAACATGCAGTGTTTCCAAATGTATGAACTCATTCATTGTCACCATAAAGGATGAAAGTGTGCTTTAAAAAGAGTAGTAATAGTTGACTGTTAAAGTGAGATATGCCATGGAATCAAATCATGTGATGGGAAAACATTCATTGAGTCTTATTTCATTTGTCAACTAAATGCACAAGGAGATCTGCAATATCTGTCCAAACCCTGTCAAGCACGTGTTGGCAGTCACACGCTTATCAGCCTTATCTTTGCCACGATGCAAGCTTGGAAACCAAATCTTTGATGCATCATGCAGGAGAAGACACTGTCCTTGGAGCGAAAGAGCTTTGAGCTGCAAGAACTGAGCCAGGAGTGCGATGACTTGAGGGCCGAGGCCGACACGGCTCGGCAGGAGGGACACCGGATCCAGGCCGCACTCGACGACGTTTGTGCCACGCTGGTGGGTCGAGGATGAAATCGGGAATGTTCATCCTTGGTCACTTTGGTTTCGCCTCTAATTTTTGCTTTGATCTGACATTTGAAGGATGAGGAAAGAGGAGCAAGGTGGAAGAAGGAAGAGGAGCTGAAGGGAAAAGAAGTGGAGTTGGATGAATTGAGGAGAAATCTTGCCGGGATGCAGGACCTCCTCAAGCGGAAGGAGGCCGAGTACCAGGACCTTGTGCGTTATCTTGGTTCATCTCATTATCCTGTTTTCTTAAGTAAACATTTTGTTAGTATTAGGTTGTTTCACATGAAATGTCTGATTTTGAAGATGAGATTTAAAAGGCTATATTTTTAACAAATAAAATTTCATTTAATCAAAATATGCTCCATTAGCTTGAATTGTCTTCTCCCAACGGGATACTAAGGAAAATATTCCATTTCTATAAAATTCTACATTTTTTAAATTAACAAACTCCTCAAATGCTCCAATTACAGCCTCTCGGTCCCGGAATGTTTTATTCCAGAGAAACAGCTCCAAGTGACGGAAAAGGTGATAATCCGTTGGTGAAAGGTCAGGTGAGTATGGTGGATGCTGCAAAATTTCATAGCCCAATTCTGTTAATTTTCCCACGGTGGTTCGTGACGTGTGGGGTCGAGCATTGTCGTGCAGCAGAATCAGTCCTTGTCTGTTTATCAATATTGGCTGTTCGGTGGCCAATTTTTGATGCATAATTTCAATTTGCTGACAATATGATTCTGCTGTAATTGATTGTCCCGGTTGCAAAAAAGAATAGTGTATGATTCCCTTTGCAGACCACCATACTGTCACCATGACCTTTTTTGGGTGCAATGGCGGTTTTGGTGCATGTCTTGGAGCTTCACCAGCATTCAACCATTGTCCACTTCTTTTCCGGTTATTGTACAGGATCCATTTCTCGTCGCAGGTAATGATTCGCTCCAAGAATGGCTCTTTGTTGTTCCTGACCATCAGCGATGAACACACCTCCAGGCGTCGCAGTTTCTGGCTGTCCGTCAATTCGTGCGGCACCCATTTGTCCAATTTTTTCACCTTTCCTATTGCAGCCAGGTGTCGAGAAACAGTTGCAATAGAAACACCTAGGTCTATTGCAAGAGCCTGAACTGTCGTTTGTGGGTTAGCTTCCGCGATGGCTCTTAAATGTTCTTCATTCGCAACAGATTCAGGCCTTCCTTGGGGCTCATTTTCAAGATTCATGTCTCCAGATCGAAATTTTTCGAACCACCGCCGAATAGTCCGCTGGTTAGCAGTCCCTTTCCCGAACGCCAAGTCGATGTTACTCATGGCTACAGCTGCGTTGTGCCCCAATTTGAACTCGTACAAAAAAGTAGTCTCGATTCTTTTGAAGACATCATATCGTACAGGCAGTCCTCGACATATGACGGTAATACGGGGGAGGCCTCAGGCCTACATGTCAATGACTCCTTCAGCCCTAGGCTTAGAGCGTCCTAAGTCAAAGTGTCGTAAGTCGAGGACTGCCTGTATAGAGAAAAATCGGACATTTCATGTGAAACAACCTAATAGATGAGTTTGTCATTAAACTCCTTAGGATTTTGTGAACAGCATGGAATACTTTATATTCTCTGGATGTCAAGTGATGTATATCCCCTGTCAGAATTGTTCTGTGATATTTTGAAGTATTGGGAATGTTAGCTTATCACTGTTTCTTCAAGAAGTTTGTATTTGCTGATTTGATTTTTCTTCTGATTTGGTAAATTTAAACATTTTTGTAGTAGTTGAGATGAGGTTCCTATTATTTGAAGGTATCCATATAGCATATTGGGAGGATAGGATTGAGTGAAAAGAATAGTGCATAGCATCCAGGATATATATGTCTTCACCATCTCCCTGGTGAATGTGCTCATATTCATATGTTAGATGGACGAGCAGAGGGATTTGGAGAGCAGAGAAGTCCTGGCCAAGCAAGTGAGGGAGTGGAAGTCCCAGGTGGAAGTGTTGACCAAGCAGCAGGGCGATCTTGAGAGGAAGCATCGTGACGCCTTGCTCAGGCTCAGTATGGATCCCTGGTCTTTTCTCTCTTTTTCCTCTCAATGTTCTTGCACATGACTCATGGAGCCTTCCACGTGCAGAGGACGAGTTAGAGGCGGTCAGGGGCTCCGTGAAGGTCAAGGACGAGGAGATCTCGGCTCTCAAGAAGCATTTTACCGATCAGCATCAATTGGACCTACATGGTAAGTTAATGCATTAGCATATGAAGGAAGAAAATTAATAACTGAGTGAACTGAGCCATTCAATAATATGCCAAATTTCATGAACAGGCTTAATAGTTTTTTCTCAATTTCCTGTAATGGGTCCAACTGGCCCAGAGCATGCTATGTCCTAGGAAGGGGTTGGTTTGGAGAGAATAGAAGGAAGAAACACACTCTCACAAAGAGGGATCCTAATGATGTATTAGGCTTGTAATGTTGGGGAGGGTAAGTTAGAAATTGGAGCCAAATTAATTGCTTTTTAGGTGCTAATATACTTTGTGTGAGTGAATCTAGACCATGAGGCTATTAAGGACCTACACCTAATGTTGAGTCAAGTAGGGATGTATTGTTTCAGCCATGACATGGCTTTGTGCTCAGCAAAGCAGACTCAATCAGGATAATTGATTCCAGCGTGTGCTGTCTGAGTTATCTCCTGATGCTCTTGCAGTTGCAATTTCCTGAGCCATTTTTCATCAATCTCCTTTTTTGATGCTTATGAACTCTCTTCTACATGTGCATGACAGGAGAAACTTTAGAAGCAGTTGGGGAAATCCAACTGCTCACTGGTGCCATCTCACCCCAATGAAGAGCTGCTCTTGATTTATGTGTACTCTTGTATTGTGAGGAATTCCTCAGAGCTCATGAAGCCCTTGACATGTTCCAAAATGGACCTGCTAAAAAGAATAATTCATGAAGTAGGTGCAATTATTTCCACAGATGTGGGTACTCTTCAAGTTATTATGCTAACAGGATATTTATCTCCTAATTGAACATATGGAAGCAATACCTTAGCCATTAGGTCATACCGGCCTTCCTGTGACATTTTATGAAGTTTTGCTCTCTCCCTGACTTTCCAAGAAAAGTTTTTCCTTGAAATTGGCAAGGGACAATTATGGAAAAAACTTGAGTTGCATATTGCTTGTGTCAGAAAACAGGAATAATCCATCTGCTTCCATTCGTTCAAAATTGGAATATTTTTTCTTGCCTAACACCATGTTATGCCCAACCAGTTCATGTTAAGTTCATGAGAATTGGCGATGGGCCATTAATGTTAGGCCTTGTGTGAAATGAGCATTAGTCTGCAGTATTGAGAAGTGTGGTGAATTTTGGCTTCACCATACTCTACTGTTGCATAGGGCTAGATACCCAGGTCTGTACAGATGCCAAAATCAGAGAGATAGGCTAATGTGTCACAAAGATGTGGAGTTGGGGTGCTCAGCTCGGGCCACTATGGTTGCCTCGAGGGCCCATGGAGTGGGCCTTTGTCATGCACTGGCGACATTAGGTGGAACTCATTCCCACATTCGTGTGGTTTGTAGTGTGGTGACATCAGTTATGCTTATGTTATCTGTCTGCAAGTGAGATGAGCAAAGGATGCTGACCCAAGATGTCAGCAGTGGCCTTTTGTAGTGGGGCACAATGAAGTTTGAGTCCTTCAGTCCTGTTTCCCAACATGGCTGTTTTATGCTTAGGCATATATACTTGACTGAATTTCCATTTGTCAGAGTTAGGAGTGGTACACATCTGTCATCCAGCTGGGGATGTGGCCTCTAAATGAGTGCTGCTGTGCCATTAATCAGTCTGCAACGCCTCGACGAGGTAGTCGGATGGTTTGTCAATTGGAGCAAACCCAACTGCTAACCCGGTCGAATGCATCATTTGTCAAGCAATCTGACAGGGTGTGCAAACGGCTCCCGAATTACCATGGCTCTAGTATTGCCTGACAGCCTAAAAAAAAAAATTTTTCCTCAATGAAGTGTGCATTGTAGTCAAAATCTATTGGTGGAAAACTTTGTTTTGTACCATACTTTGGGATGTGGCTAGGTGTTATTCCCTCTCTAATATTATTGTAGCATTTATGTTTTCATCATGCTTGGAAGTGGCAAGCATGGTATCATGAGAGTGAAGAAATTAAATATATGTTTGTGAATGGTTCATTTTCAGACTTGTCATGTGAAAAAAGTGCTATTGGTAAGGTTGCTGGAGAACAATTTACTGCTGTTAATGATCAGTCGTCTGATTTTCCAATGAATCTGAAGCTGAAGCCAATCAGAATCCCTCTGGAAGTGCTCAAAACAATTGACATACTAGTTGGATGCATCCAGGATTTTGAGTTTGTACTTGATAATAATGCATCAGGTCTGCTAATGTTCAAATATGGCACTTGTAACCGATCTACATGTCACCTAGCTACATGGAGAGTCTTCCTTGAAAGTTTTGTCAGTTTGTCGTCAAAAGTTTAAATTCAACTGTAGTTTGGTGCTGTTAGTACTTGTGGCTAATTTTCTGTAAACATTTGGACACCATGGGGAGTTCTAGTGTATCTGGGCTGGATGGCAAAAGGGTTAAGATGTTGATGAAGTGGTCTCCCACCCACAGGCATAACTACCTCGAAGGAAATTGTGCGAGCAAATCCCATTCGTTGCAAATGCCAAGAATCCTGGTGTGACTTGTGGAGCCACCTAGTCAATGCCTGCTTCCTTTAAGTGCTCTCTCTGGGATGCCTTTTAATGAGACATCCCTAGGATGAAAAATGAAATGAACTTGAAAATGGAAGCTTAGTTTGCCATATGAAAAAACTTGGTGACAATTTTATTTAAAAAAAAAAAAGAAACAATGCCATGAATATAAAACTGCAACAAATGGTTGGCAGTTCAGTATCTCGGCCGCTGAATTCCACCCATCCTCCGTAATGCAACGACGTTCTATCGCAGAGATCCCAACGGTGGAGGCGCTGGCGAGACGCATCCGAGACGAAGTGAAGCATTCGGAATTGCTGGACCGGAGGCTTTTCCACCACCTAAAGAAGCCCGGCGGGGGGCGAGGAGACGAGGAGACGGAGACGTCCAGCACCGACGACGATGCCTCCGTCTCCCATCGCGTCCAGAGTCTCCTCAGCAAGGTCCATAAGGAAGGCCTTCAGGTGTGCCTCGTTCATCTCGTTCCTCATAGAGAGGCTATTGACTGGAAAGTGGAAGGTGGAATCTAATAGGTTCGAAATGCTTCAGCTTCTTTGTTCTCATGAGGCATTAGTAGATCTTGAGGATTTGATTATGGCTGGGCCTGTCATTGCTCCATTTGGTCATTCTCGATCCATCAGGAGTGACATGAATTCGTGGAAAAATGCAGATGATATTGGGTATTGGGATGGCTTCACCATCCTCCTATTAGAAATGGGCTACCCTTCCTTTTGGTCTTGCTCTTGCTCAGGAGGACCAGCACTCCTGCTGCCTTTTTGAATTCTTCACCATAAACAGCCAGCCTGGGAACATATTGCTTAGGAACACAATGAATAGACGATCGAGGATCTGCACCCCTTCGGGCATCAAGGAGACGACCCCCCTTTCTGTTATTCTCAGATTCAACTAAATTCACTATTCAACTGGAATCGCTTGAAGAAAGCATCAGATGCCACTAAGAGGGTTTCAGAGTGATGGAGCTCCTCATTGCATGTTAAATTCCAATGGATGAGCAGCAGTCTTTTTTCAGATAAAAACTATTTCATGCAAGTACTCGACGGAATGTCTTTTGCTGAATCAAGTGCTACGATTTGCAAGACTTCTGGGCAGTAGAAATTCATCCCGAGACCGCCAAAGATGCTCGTTCCTTGATGACGGATATTGTTGTCTAGCAGAATAGGAAAGGGGTGGTATGAGGCTTTTATTTATTTTTTCTGTTTCTCTGATAGCAGCAGTTCAAGATTCACGATTCCGTGACTTGTGATCTTGCGGGAAAGCGTTTGACATTTTTTTTGTTATTTAAAGAAATATATATATTAATCATCCCATCGAGACGCTCCTTAATGCCACCCGTATTAATTCCCTGATTCGGCCCGACTCCTTGCAGGTCCTGAATCTCTCGGAGCAGGCGAGACGAGGCGGGGGAGACGTGGCCGACGTGAGCGCCACGCTCCAGAATCTCCTCACCCGATTCGCCCAGAGGGAGCAAGGATACAAGAAGCAAGGTGCCTCTGCCCCCTGGCATTCGGATCGGGGCTGGTGCCGGGGACTCGATCACTAACCGGATCTGTTGTTGACAGTTGAGGTGCTGGAGTATAAGGTGCAGCAGGAGAAGATCCTGAGCAATGATCTCAAGGCCACGTTGGACCTGGAGAAGCAGCGGGGTCTCGACCTCCTCACTAAGGTATTTCTCAGTCATTCCCTATTTTTTGCCAGGTCCCGACTCGAACGGATTTGTTCACTGTCTTTTAATGAAACTGGTGCAAGGGGAAAAAAAAAAAAGATGGTGTACCTTTTACCTTTGAAATAGTATCGTTTCTCTGATATATACAGATTAATGTCCAAGAATGATTTTTACCCATCGTGCATCTCTTCTGTATGGGTCGACTGTGTATCGATCCATCGTATTCCGATGCATTCTGCAACGAAGGGATGCTTCCCCTCTGGCTGTTCACTGCCCCGTTCGTAGTGCCGGTTCTGTTTAAGTTCCGTGTGGGTGGGTGCAGGTGAGCTCGGAGCGCGTGCGGGTGGCATCGCTGGATGCGGAGAAGGACTCGCTCTGCTCGCAGCTGGAGCAGTGGAAACTCCGAGCCGATCGGGACCAGGCGCAGATCTACACTCTCTCGTATGGGTTCGGATTTCTCCTCTGGGCTTTTCTCTGCGAGCGGTTTGGAATGTTGGAACGCGTGGGTGCAGGAGGGAGGTGGAGACGATGCAGCACCAGTCGAGGAAGCTGGAGTCGGCCCTGCGCGTGGAGCGGGGGAACTTCGCACAGCTCACGGAGATGCTGGACAAGGAGCGGAGTCTGTTCCAGGTCACCTCGCTCCGCGACAAGAAGTTCATCCAGGTTCGTGTTCGATCGTTTCGACGAGTCCTTGTTTTTTTTTTTTCGGTCCGTCCTCGTCCCGCTTTGAAGTCCGCTTTCCGTTCGCAGGAACTGAGAGAGAAGTTGAGCAAAAAGCAGGAAGACTTCTGTTCCGTGCTGAGGAAGTTGGATTCTAAAAAGGTACGCGATGGGAGTTTCGTCCTCGACATCGATGGAATTTGTTGTCCAAATTTTCTGAGAATTTGAAGCGTGAATATCGGGTGTGCAGGAAGTTGCAGTTCCGACGTCCGACTCCCATCTGGTCGAGAGTCTCACGGAGGAGCTCACTGTGGCTCGCGTTCAGGTACGACCGAGGTCGACGGTGCGCTTTTTTTGTCTGTCGGTGGAAAGAGGAAGGCTTTTGACACGGTTGCCAAGGTCGCGACAGGTTGCCGTGTCGATTGCCTTTTCTCCCGACTTCGAAGATCCCTCGTGTCCCTAAAAGCTGGTTTCGGATGTGGCATCAAAATTCCCGCTTTTAAAGTCCGACTCGTTGTCGGTGTTGGGACCATTCGATGCGGTAACTTTTAAATAAAAAAAAACGCTACCGAGAATCGTGGAGACGCGAGAGAGTGAGGAATCTCGACCGTCGATATCGTGCTTCGAGGTGCGGTGACCGAATGCCGTCGTCGCGTTCGATTCAGTTGCTGAAGGCGGAAGAGTCCGCTCGGGAGAGGGAGAGGCTGAGGGAGGAGCGGGAGCAGCTGGTCCGAGACGTGGAGCGACTTCGAGACGCCCTCAGGCTCAAGGACAGGGAGCTGCAGGGGGTCCTCGAACGACAGGTACGGTCTCGGGTGATGGGGGGAGGGACGAGTGGTGGGGGTGGTGCTTCACGGGTGCTCTTCGTGCAGGAGGAGGAGGATGCGGAGAGGGTGAGGTGGAACATCCCTCTCATGAGTCTGGTCACGACGTCTTCCGAGTATCCGGCCACGCTGGTGAGTGCGGTTGGAACGAGTGCTTGGGCTGGGGGAGGGGTGGAGGTCACCCGCCGGGGAGGCGTCCCGAGTGGGGGGTGATCGGTGGTGGGAGGGGAGTTTTCGATCGCGGCCGAGTCGACTGTTGCGGATTTTCCTTTTTTTTCTGCGTCTGCAAACTGTGAGGGACGGGCGGCTCGCACGCGAGGGAAGAAAGGGAACGACAGGGAAATGGTTTGCACCAGTCGAGGAGTTTTTGCCAGGCGGGAACTAATAAGTCTGGGGATGGACCGAAGAACTGAAAACCTGACGATGGACGATGATGCGATGTCGGCGGTGGATTCCGATGGTTCCCGGTTCATCGGGTACAGCGATGGAACTGAACTCGAACCGTGGGCGGAATCAGAGCTCTTCGATCCGAGTAAAGGGATGGGACAGACCTTGAAATAAGCTAACCCCGATTTGTACTTCTCTGACTGCAGTAAGACGTGCACGTCGTTGAATTGATCAAGCTAAAAAAAAATGTGTAACTTAGTTTACGACCCTACACATCGCTTACATGATTCTTCATCATTTGTGAATGACAATTTTACGTGAGGCAAAGATTAGAAGATGGCTAAACACCCCTCATGGTACATTTAGCACGTTCTGACTCCTCGGTTGCCGCGTAATACACTACGGACTCCCCAAAAAACGAGCGAATCGAGTGAAAAAGGAGAGCCTTTCCTCAGACTATTAATATTAAGTACATCTCGCAGAGCTTGTAAAGGAGAATCTCACGATAGAGAGAGACAGAATGCGCTTTCCTTGCACAACAACAATAATAATGCCTGGAAACTGGTGAGAGTTCTCCACTGATCTTACTCTGTATTTCGATGTATCAGAGGTAAAGCCAAGGATTCGTTTTGGACACACGGAGAAGTAGGAAATGTGAAAAATAGGAGTATCATTTGTGTACGATTGCAAAATGAGGGTATTCGAGAATTGCGTGTGGATCCCGGTCACGTGATGACAAATGCAGTAATAATCCCTTCCGCATCTCGGACTGCTTGGACATCGATGAAATAGAAGCATTTGCGATTGATTAAAGTTGTCTGGGCATTCTAATCGAGTACGACAGTCGTCGATGACACCGATCACTCCTGGGGCCTATTCCACAGAAGATTTACAAGCTACAAGTTACAAGCGGTGTGGCTGTATTTACAAGTATTTGTATTTTCTGTTCCACTGAGTTTGCGCTAGTACTTGTAAATCGTAAAGTACAAGGCACTGGAGCCAGCTCATATTACAAGTTCTAAGTGCATTCTAGAGTTCTCTATCGAGTAGCACTCGTGGAATGACATCAAAAGAGGTTTCATCAATGAAAGCGTATGGATATCTCATATAACGAGGAGCTGGATATGCAGAATCGAATATGCCATCTCTTGGCTTTAAGGTCAGAGTCTACGTATTCCAGATAGGGTGCATCGAATATGCCCAACAAAGTGGGGAAGCTGTTCGAGTCCATTGGTTGTACACCAGACAGAGTCCACACTTACATTCAAGGTTAATTCTATCATAGAGGGCGCCAAGAAAAGTTTTAAGGTCAGAGTCTACGTATTCCAGATAGGGTGCATCGAATATGCCCAACAAAGTGGGGAAGCTGTTCGAGTCCATTGGTTGTACACCAGACAAGAGTCCACACTTACATTCAAGGTTAATTCTATCATAGAGGGCGCCAAGAAAAGTTGCTGTGATCATTCTTTAGCTGGCAATACACGTAGTCAGGTATTTCATTTCCTGCGGCGCTGGATTTTATTCTTTCTTGTTTTTTGTGACGTAATCACATAAGCCCAACTCTACTGTAGTGTACCACATTGGAACTATGCCTACATTGTCCTATGCAATGGTCACAACAGGAAAATCCATCATTTCCGTTAGACACAGGAGTGCAGAAAATACATTTACCAAGCATGAGAGTCTTGTAGAAATTAGAGCTACAAGTACAAGTCTATAGACTTGTACTTGTAAAACGTCTGGCTCTGTGGAACAGAATTCATTTTCCCAAACTCAATTCGCTTGCAAATGGATGAACTTGTACTTTGTAAATCTTCCTTGTACAATTTTCTTTTGTGGAACAGTAACTTGATTCTACAAGTAATAGACTTGTAACTTGTAGCTTGTAAATCTTCTGTGGAATGGGCCCCAGGGGATCCAAATTTCCAAGGTGTTGGCAGACCAAAACGACCGGACTGTAGGAAAAGTTATACAATAAATACTGTACATTTCAAGTAACTCAGACAACCCTGACTTTGTCTGTTTGAGAAGGGAGAGAGAGAAAGAGAGAGAGATAAATGTGAGCCTTGTACATTTTGAACAAAACAAAAAATAGCATTTTGCGGACATGATACCACGGAGAAGTGACGGAAGGAATGGTGCTTTTTACCTTTCCATGAATGGACCGCTACAAAATTCTCGGATTAATGAAGGGCGAGCCACTAACTGAAAAACACTCCGATTCTGTCAGGAAATACTCAGAGAAGAAACAATATATCTTCGAATAATGAACGCCATGAAGAAATTCCTGAATAAGGCAGAAAACCTTCACGTCTCACGGGAAGTCACAAAAGTCCCCTACTCAAACGTAACAACCGATTCCGACTGAGAAATAAAAAAACTTGACAATAGTAAAGATTGGGATTTCCTGGAAGATAATATAAAATACTCTTTCCCGAACGTTTCGCGCACGGAACGAAATTAGGGTTTTCTTGGAACAGCATGCCTACATGAGAACGTAAAAAAAACATCATTTCCACTATCGTGCCGGAATTCACGGAAACTTTTGTTGCCATTGCTTTACTCGGAATTTCCCAATGGGGGTTGCTGGGGTAAAGTAAAATGCAAAAAGGAAAGGCAAAAATCAGATTTGCAGTTCAGCGACCAGCTGAACCCCAAGCTTTCATGCTTAATTTTCCTCTTGACGCATCTGATTTTCCCCAGCAGCCACTGAAGATGGTCGACTAAGAATTATCATCCCGCATTTTATTTTTTGATATCCATATTTTAACTTGGAAGAATTCATTCAGACTAATTTTTCTGTGTTTTTCGCCGAGTTGACATTTACTTCTGTGATAAATGTCAGGTGCAAAACTGCAAAAGACTTATATGAAATGGCATCCTTTCAGATCGGTCAGATGCCATGGGAGTTATTTACTGACTCATCAATCTTTCAAAAAATTGTTTCTTGATGAGGTTGAGTTTATCACACTCCTTTAAATCAGTCAATGAAATGTAGTCGTTTTCACCGGTCCTTTCAACATTTTGAAGAATCCAAGTTTATAGTCATCGATTAAGCCGAGAGTCACACCTGTAATACTTATCCCTTGAAATCCCCAGTAGAGATAAAGCTCAGAATATTTCGGAATGGATACTTAACAAATGGCATCAAACCATGAAGTATGAGAGACAATAAAAAGGTCGCACCTTAAAACCATGATTTTTCTTCCTCGGTGCTTGTTGTTTTGGAAAGCGCGATCAAAGTTAGTGGTGTCAGTTATTTTAGGGGTCCACTGGACGCAGTCATGGTGAAAGTCTGCAACTATTCACTTGTCTAACTGAAGTGGCAGAGGAAAGGGGAAAATGCGATCATGTTACATTCCATGAGTACGCCCGTCTCCATTTGCCGCCGTTTCTGGTTTCTCTTTGGGTCATACTTTTCCACCCCATCTACCAAAAAGTGTCGGGAGAAACCCCCCCCCCCCCCCCCCCCCCCCCCCCAAAAAAAAAGTGCATCCAGGGCATGAACTCGAAAAGTAGGATCTACTTCGAAATCAGCACTCTGATAATCACTTGCGTACCAAATGTCAGCTATCTACCATCTGTATCTGTATTATTAGAATTAGTGTCATTCACGATCGTCTAGATAATTTTGGTAGTTTTTACTCTTAATTTGACTTTAACTTGAGTAAAGGGCAAGAATAAACATGCACGTTAATACAATAATAGAGGGACTCAGGAACTATGTTTTAGTAAAGTTTTAACCGGATTGAGCAAGCGCCTTGGCCTGTGTGTTTAATTGTGAGCGCCACCCAGTGGGTGGTGATGAAAAATCATTTAAAAAAATGTATATTTCTAAAATTAATATATATTTAATTTTGATGATAAGAGAAGGAGCAAAATGCAAGCTAAAAAATGACACATTGGACATCTCTCGAACCCAATTAGGAGTTACCTTATTGCATATATTACGCCGTAGCAACCCAAGAGGTGCACAGTGGTGCCAAAACTGGCAACAACCATCTCTCAATCTTATCCTATTTCAATTAAATCCGTTATGCATACTTGGAGTCATCACATCTTACTTCCTCCCATTTTTCAAGAAAGTGAGAAATGCTCAAGCACATCTCATGGATGAGTTGACGTGTAAGCTATTCCCCACTGCAACGAAGAACAGCGACACTAGGAGATACGATGCCTATTCGCTGGGTGCACTAAACTAGATGGCGCGTTTTAAATATGGCGCCGCCCATGACTGGGGGGAGTCGCACATAAGTAGGAAAATGGAACTAAGTCATGTCTTCACAGAATTGTACAATCCTTCTTCACGTGGGGCGCCTCCCAATTTCTCCTCAAAACTTGAGAGCCATGTCAATGATAAAGGGAGCTTCTAGCCTAAGTAAAGCGTGTTATAAATGCGTTCAAGGGTGTGCAAGAACGTAGTTCAATCCTAAATTTAACTTCACTTTCAAAAGAGGTGCAGGTTTTCCTCAAAGCCACTCACCAATGCAAGGATTTTTATGAAATCATGGGCCTCAGTGAGGTATATGTGCATGATATGAGTGGGATACTATTAATATCTTCCAGTTTCTTATAGAATTCACTACAACGGGAAACTGCTTTGAACTAGGGTTGGGTTTCAAAACAAGACGCTTGGCAAGATCTTGATTTCCATTTCTTCTCAAGTCTTGATATGTCCTCCACCTTTACAAATAAATCAATATTCCCACATCAAGTGGAAATATTAATTTATCTGCAAGGTTTTTTTCTCCATTCAAGGCCGTTTCTAGGGGCGGGCGAAGCGGGCGATCGCCCGGGGCGCCAGCGGGATAAGGGAGGGGGCATCA